GTATGAGAATTTAGTCATGTCGTAGTTTACTATTGAATAAGGTATCACTTTAGCCATTTTGACACAACCTTTTGTCCAGAGAAAGCGAAATCGATGAAAAGCCGTAGGGGAAGTTGACAAGTTTAAATATCGCGGTTAAACAAAATCAACTATGCCACTATCCAGTCACGATTGAATAAGATGATTACGTTGGTAACCTTTGAAATATTTTGGCTGAGGAAGGAGTTGTCCTTTCCGCAAAAATTCGCCTGTTTCTTCCTTCTGTCAGGTAGACAGTTGTTCTCACGAAGGAACAAAAACGACAGTTGAACTGTTTGCATCAACTTTGGCTTCGATGCATAACGAGGAGATTAAAGGACCATGCATGAAATTGGTGGTGTTTCTCCCAGGCACAGGCGATTAGGAAAACGAGGTTGGTCGTGTTAGAGAAATTGGTTGAGCCTAAACCGCTTAGTTCAACCGTTGAATTTGTCGCGTGGGAAGCGAATCAGGGTAAACGTTGGCCGAGAAGCCAGCGTGCTACCCGGCAAAGTAGAGACAGATCTACTTTTTCAGTGAAACGTTTTTCTCACTGCAGTAACCGTCGTCTTCTGGCAGACGTGTTGTTAAACAGTCCATCAGTATGACGGACGGATATCACGCACCAGAGACGTTCTGCTTATGCAGACGATTCATTGTGAAGATCACACGCTAAGTGATAAATTTGAATTAGAAAGTTGAATAACGAAAAAAAACCTTAATTTATTCCCGCAAATGACTAAGGCTTCACTTATTAGTAGAGTCCATTGCTTCCAGTTTCGATGCAGAAGCTGGTTCAGTTGTTCCCTTGATGATAAATTGACTTGTGCCAAAATAACATTTGGAAATACGAAGTTTTGGCTTTTTTTGTATTTCCTTTTGCGGCTATTTTTAAGGCTTGGTTTTACTTTGTAGACCCGCTGGAAATCATTAATGCGTTCATCGTGATTCTGGACATAGTAGTGCTGATGATTTGCTTTCCATCGTTGCTGCTTTGCCTTCGTGCGGTGGTCGGTGCTCAGGTGTTAAAATACGTAAGCCAGAAAGCGGTTGTCGCCTTATTTTTGTTTCGTATATAAGAGGTTTGCTGTGTTTTCTTAGGAAGCTAGGCAGTTTTTCATTGAGCGCGGTATGCCTTTCACGAAGCACGACGAAATGTTGTTCATCAATTTTTGGTACGTGCTTATTTTGGCCAACGACGTTTTCATTATTCTTGGGACGTGCTTCAAATTCGTGTTGGAGTACAAGGTTAACTAACTTCGTGTCTTACGGTTTATTCGAATGTACGTCTCATTTTCCTGCAGGTGTTTGACTCCGCTCTGCTGACGGCTACCGGCATGCTGTTGGGCGTCGGCACGCTGTTCGTTTGGATAGGCATCTTGCGATATTTGGGTTTCTTCTCCCGTTATAACGTAAGATGGTCTGATGTTGTTCTAATGGCATTAAATATAGCCGCAAAAGGTTCTTATGTTAAGAACGTGATTAAGGCTTCAAATATTTTGCCAGCATTTCACGAGTTTTCTTTAATCTTACATATATCATACTTGCCGAAGGGTTCGATTCGTTGCATAATGAGGGTTTGACCACGTAAGGAATCTAAGGAATCACTCTTCTTTTCTTTGTACAGATGACCTCAGTAGATGCGGAAATTGAGGAAAGAGGGTTGGCTCTGTTAGAGAAAATGGTTGAGCATAAACCATTTACTTCAGTTCTCGAGCTACTCGCGTTTGAGCTGAAATATGATAGACGTTTTCCTGTAGAATGCCAGCTTGCAATATGGTGGAACAAAAGTAGAGGCAGATTTTCTTTCAAAGAGGAATGTTTCCTTCTACGATTCAGCAACCGGTGCCTTATAGCAAATGTGCTGAAAGGCTGCAGATACAGCGGACAACGCACATCAAATACGTTCAGTGAGTTCTGGAGTCGAATTTTGTTGACTGGGAGAAAGCTGTGACCAGATCCCGCGCAACAATCTGATGGCGTGGTTGCGAACATAGGGGATCGATGACCAGTTGCTATGGGCCATCCAATAAGCATATGCTGGTAGCAGGTGCTGTGTTAGAGTAAATGACTTTAAGTCGAAACCTTTCAGCATTGGCACTGGTCTCCGCCAAGGTAGCTTTCTGTCCCGTCTTCTGTTTTTGTATAAATATAGTGTCAGGCGCAACCATGGCGGCGAGTGTATCAGCATGATGTATGGAAACGATCTTGTTTTGTTTACATCTGCTAAGACTGATCTCCAGCGCTCTGTAGGAAGATTCGCAGCTGAATGCGACAATGCTGGCATGCATGTGAACCTATCTAAAACGAAAAGCCTAATCCTTTCTCATTCGCCTGTATTTTGCGTTCTTCAGATCAAGAAGAATCGGCGGAACAGGTGTAGAAATTGCGTACCGCGTGGTGTTGTGAACATGTAATGAAAAGTGGAAGGAAGAAATTGAGCAGCGAATCTGAGTAGCCAGCACTGTTCTGGGTGAGCCTGCCCTAACCATTGTGACTAACGCAGGACTAAGTCTGAAAACTAAGCTCTCCGTGTTCCAGTCATCTTCATCCCAGCACTCATCTATGGTTAAGTCGTGGGTCATAAATGAAGAACATCGATCCCGGGTACCAGCGGCTGAATTGGGCTTTCTGATACGAATCGCTGAAATCAAGCATCTTGTCATGGTTTTTACCGAGAAAGCCTTCGTGTACAGCCGCTGGTCGTCGAGATTGAAAAGAGATAACTGCGATGGTTTTGGCTCGTCTCGCGAATGCTTCCACAGAGTAAGGCGAAACAGCTGGTACTTGCCTTCTCTCTCACACAGAAGAATCGGGGGAGGGTCAAAAATAACCTTTTTCAAATATTTCGACACTCTCTCTCCCTGGCTCTGGTTATCTGTTGCTGAACACCACTGCTTGGCACAGGATTAGGAACGTTGAAGATCTACCTATCTAGCGCCTTGTCTTTGCGACCCAAAACGGTAAGCAGTCATCGAAACTAGCTGACGAATCATCTTGGTTAAGAGAAATATTTTGAAATGTCACCACAGTCAAGCGAACACATGGCCACCTGAACAGACAAGAAGAAACTTGCTTAATATGTTCAGCTTCGTAATCTCTGTTATGTCATAAAAAATGCTAGCAAAACGTTTGATTTTCCGAGTTTTATTTTATATTCAATATCTTCGTAATCTGCCGTTTCTTTTCCTTTTTTGAATACATCATCTGAACAGGATTAATCATCATACTGTTCTGTTCATGTTCACGATTACCGCCGCACGACTTCTGTTTCTTACCTAGTAATGCTCTGTTTTCCAAACGGTGGCCAGCCACATCAAGCGGACCTCTTCAGCAAGGGAATTGCCATCTTGAGGTGAAAGATTGTTGAAATTCTTGCTCTGGAATCGTATTTGTTGTGCACTTCCTGCGTCCATTTTAAATTAATCAAATGTTAAATTAAATATTTATCTGAAATTTATAAACATACATATACAATTTCTCCAATCTTTTGTAGAAATACATTT